AAATTTTAAATTCTTGGTATTTGAATTACTTTGATTTCAATTTCTATCATTCTTAAAATATTTTGTTTGGATGAGTCAATTTAAATTTCTTAAATTTTAAATTGTTAGGTTGAATATGATAATTTTATTCCATCATAGTAAAATTGATTTTAAAAATATATTTATATGTTGAGATTTTTAAATTAAATTTTATAAAAATAAATATTAATCCATTTTTAAATATTTAATAATTTTAAAAATTAATATTAGATAATGTTTAACAATTTTAAAAATATTTTTGAATATCCAAAATAATTAAAAGAATGAAGAGATAAGATAAAATATATAAGTGAAATAAGAAAAATAAATATGAGGAATTTCAAATTCTCCCATTTTTGAGAGAATTTGAAATTCTACTATTTTAAAGAATTTCACAAATGCTTAAATTTCAAATTCTTTATAAATTCCTCGTCCAAACAAAGCATTTTACCTCAAAAAATTTGAAATTCTTCAAATAAATGAATTACCCTATATAAATTCCTCATCCAAACACACCATAAAGGAAAAATAGTATTTTCTTTTTCTTCTCTTCAAGATAATATGAACCAGCGTATGCATTGTTAAGTAGAATTTGGGCCACGTCGGAGGCCCAAAGAAAGGCTCTGGGCTTCAACGGTATGCCTCTGTATGTAAAGGGTGATCCTATTCACACATTTTTATTCTTTGCACTATTCGCTTTTATTTTATTTTCATGAATGTTAATTTCCTCCGTGCGTCCTATTCACACTTATTTTATTTTTTTTACACATACGCTTTTTTTTTTTCTTTTCTTTTCATAAATGCTAAATACGTGTGTTCTATTTACACTATCATTTTTATTCTTTGCCCCATCCATTTTTTTCTTTACATAAATGTCGATTTTTGGAGTGAGTGTGTGTAAGCATCTTAAATTAAAAAATTACAAGTAAATTTATCACGTGCTACAATAAAATATTTTTGTGTGTACGAATGATTTAGATTAAATGATTATAAATATATTTATTACACACTATAATAAAGTATTTTTTTTAGTAATATTAGAAAAATGTTACCAAATTATGAAGAAATATTATTGATATACTTTTGCATCATTTTATTAAATATATGATAAAATCCATGTTACTAAAGTTTTTTAGAGACATTTTTTCATATTAATGACAACATTTTAAAAATATTATTAATATGATATTTTATAATATTTTAATTATATTATTAAATATTTATAAATTTTATAAAATAATAATTAATTTTAATATTTATTATATTATTAATTATATTTTATGACTCTAGTCTACAAGTTTTTTAAGATTAAAAATACTTTAAATTAATCACTTATATCACTTAAAGTCCAAAATCTTTCTTTGAGTCTTGCATAGTGTCCGAAATTCTTCTAATAATATATACCTTGGTTCATATATATATATTCTTTATACATTGTTTTCTTATTCAATGTGTGATTTAATTATGAAAAATAATTTTAAAAAATAATATTAAGATAAAAGATATTAATTTATTTATTATAAGTAAAAAAAATATTACAATAACTTATTAACTTAATAAAATGTTGTGAAAAATATTAAATATAATAATAATATACTATTATCATCATATTTCTCTCTATCAATATATTATAATCATTGAAATATTTGTTGTTATCATAAAAATAAGAATTTAAAATTTGGAAGTTATAGATATGTTAAAAAATAAATTTGCAATAATTATATATTAATCGATTTAAGTTATATAAAATGGTAAATAAACAATGATTTTAATATTTTGAAGATAATGATAATGATTAGGCATTGTGAGCAGTGAGCAAGTGGTCAGCACACTCCATTTGTCTCTTACATTACACGTACTTGTTCCATTACCAAACGCCTCTATCCCTTTCTCTTCAAATATTTTATTTCAACATCACCACAGTCCCACAAAAACACTAATTCCCCCCTTCGTTCCGCCGTTGCAAGATGCTCAGCCGTCGCATATGGCAGAAGAGGGCTTTCATCTCCGCCCAGACCTTCTTTTCTGCCTCTGCTTCTCGCTCTTCCCCTGCGCTCCCCTTTCGCTTCGTCAAACCTAATGCTCCTTCTTCACCTGTCACTGTCAGTTCTCTCCCCTAAACTTCGATGCATCTCTTCTTACTAATAATTTATCCATTATTTCATTTCAATTTCCCATTTGTTTGTAGCTCAATTTCGCACGTGCCACCAGATATTGGTTTTCCACTCAACCTGCCCTCGACCTTCCCGCCACCAAGATTGTGGACGTGCCCTTGGCGCAAACTGGTGAAGGCATCGCAGAATGTGAGCTTCTCAAATGGCATGTCCAAGAGGTGACTGACTCAATAATAACATACCTTTTTTTCAATTCAAAAGTGGCTCTCGAGACTCTCAATTTCTGAAAATATTTACCTTTTGCTAAGTTAGTAGTAGTGATTTTTGGTGCGGAAGTTGGTTGTTGTGAGGAGCCTTGTATTCTGTTTTATTTGGCATACACATCTTTTTAATTTTTTATTTATTTGTTGTGTAATATCGGTAGGGGGATTATGTGGAAGACTTTCAACCACTTTGTGAAGTTCAAAGTGATAAAGCTACCATAGAAATAACAAGTCGCTACAAAGGAAAAGTTTCTAACATTCTCTACGTTCCCGGTGATATTGTGAAGGTGAGTTATGAATTCTGGTGCCATTGGATGGATATATAGCTCACTTGGATGATGCGTCTGAATTTAGGAATTATTAGAATACATTGGTGAGAAAAGTGGTAGTGCTACATTGGTGGTTAGGAATTTTTGTTATCCACAGCCCCCCGGCACAAAAAATAAAAGAGTAGGAAAAGTTTCGCTGTATATAGTTATATAAGTGAGGGAATGAAGTGGGTGAAAAGAAAAAAGAGAAATGCCCTAATTTTTTATTTTTATTTTTTTCTGAAGGGTTTCACGTGAGAATGCAAGGGAGAAACTACATATGAATAGAGAATAATGTAATGCGTGACTCGAAGAATTGAAGGTTTTTTTTAATTTTTTTTTAACAATGTAGGAGGTATTTGTGGATGGACCACCTAGATTTGTAATTCGTGTGAAACACATTCGAAGATATTTTGACATACTACTTCCGTCTCTGTATATATAAGACTCTTCACTCTTTTGCTTGTTCCTTTTTGTAAGACTCTCTTTCAGTTGTATTAATTATATTTCTTTAAAATACCCTTATTTAATTAACAATTCTTTTTAGACTAAAGATAATAAATGTTTGAAATTAATTGAATAAAAACTCTCATTTTAGGATTGGAGAAGATAAAAAGACACATATATATCTCTCTTCTAAATATTAATTAGGTGATAAATGATTAAGTGGAAGGAGAAAATGTTAATTTTGAAGAAGTAGTTTAAGTTATTGACAAATTTAATGTTTTTAACTAAATTAACTAATTTTATTTAAGGGTGTAATTTAGTTTAAAGGGTCTTATAATCAAGGACGGAGGTAATATGTTTTTTCAGAAGATTGTTCAAAGATAAATTATTTGGTATGCAATGTTCTGTAAATGTGTTTCTGGTATACATTCTTATAGGATTAGATGGACCACATTAGATCAGAAAAATACCCTTGGTAGATGAATCCAGACTCCAGACATTCATTTACCATTTAATTTCCATGATGGCTCTTTGTGATTATACAATAGCATATGACACATGGAGATAGTATGGTGTAGCAATTTATGTTGCAAATAAAAATGGGACCTGCCTTTTTTTTATATATTTTTTTATCAGGGAGGTCTTCAAAGCAGCATAACTGAGGAAGATATGAGTATTTTAATGATCTAAATTTTACATTGATTTGGAGATGTAATACAGGGCTGCAAATATATTTGAGCTTCTGTTGGATAAAATGGCAGGTTGGAGAAACTCTATTAAAGATGTTAATCGATGAGTCTGCATTTCCTTCCACAACTCTTGGTGATTCCGAAAATGCAAAGTCACCTGATTCTGATCAGACATTAGTTAACGAGTCTGTGTCTATTGCAGTAATTGATGATTCAGACAATGCCAAGTCAGTAGATTCTGATCCTGGAAAAGGGAGACAAACTGGAGTTCTATCAACACCTGCTGTAAGAAGTCTAGCAAAGCAACATGGTATAGATATAAATGAAGTCTGTGGAACTGGAAAAGATGGAAGAGTTTTAATAGAAGATGTGCTTAATTTTGCTGTCATGAAAGGAATCACTAAAAATCCATCTACTGTCTTGCATACTGATTCTGGAGAACAGCTTCAGGGAGCTGAAGGATACAACTATGCCGTCACAACTGAATCTTATAGGTTGTCTGAGGACAGGACACTTCCCCTTAGGTAAAGCTGGATGCAAACATAAATTTAAACTCTTCCTGTTTTTCTTTTTCTAATGAGATGGCGATGGATGTCAGTCAACCTGTTAGTGATGTGCCACAAACTATTTGTTAGATTGTTGAAAACTGTGAATTTGTGAACTTCAGTGTGCAATAGTATGAAGGTGTTTTCCTTTACTCAGTTCTGGAACTTAATTAGAAAGAATAAGTCATTAGAATAAGCTAATGAATTTTTTTTTTCCTTTTTTTTTTTAGAGGATTTCATAGAGCAATGGTAAAGTCAATGTCCCTGGCTGCTAAAGTCCCACATTTTCATTACGTGGATGAGATAAATTGTGATGCCCTTGTGGAGCTTAAAACATCTTTTCAGAAAAATAATCCTTCTCCAGATGTTAAGTACACTTTCCTTCCAATATTAATCAAATCACTATCAATGGCCCTCGTTAAGTATCCCTTTATGAACAGTTGCTTCAAAGAGGATGCATTGGAGGTCATTCTCAAAGGTTTGTTTCTCAGACATAATCTGATGAGTGATTGATAAAATTTTTCTTCCCTTAGATGCTTTATTATGTTTAAATATTTGAGAGTGAATTTAAGGTTTTTTTTTCTCAGTTAGTTCAAGGAAAAAGAAACAATTATTTAATAATTGAAAAAATATGGTGACGTGAAATAGGTTCCCTTCATTAACTGGTTCTATGGCACCTTCTCCTATATGTTCAAAATAACATTCAAATTGATTATTTAGTTTGTACGCATATAGATTTCTGGCATATAATGCAAGTGTTTGAGAAGTTTTCCTTCATCTATTGTATCTCTGTTTGAGATAGTGATCTTAATTTTGGGATTCTCAATGACAACATTTTGATAGTTTCCTTGCACAATATTTTTTATAATGTATTCACGTAACTAGTAAAGCACTTGATGTTAAACCTTTTCCAGTTTGTGTTGACTGATATCTGATAGATGTCAATTTAATGATTTATTTGAGGCAGTAGCTGTCATGCCAAATTTGACACAAAGGTTTCTTTGCCGTAGGTTCACACAACATTGGAATTGCCATGGCGACACAAAATGGTCTAGTTGTGCCAAACATAAAAAATGTTCAGTCTCTTTCCATAATGGAGGTTAGGTTACAATCTTAATGAGAAAAGGCTCGATTGTGGTTGTAGCTATTTGTGCTTCACTCAGCCATTTTTGTTTTGTATTACGTTTGCTGTTTAGTTACAGGGTTCTAAAGAAAAAAAATGGTTCATGATTTGAATTGCTCAAATAAAGTATGAGCTAATTCTTGAATTTAAGATTCTAGCCTGAACTTAATTGTTGGTTTTCTCCAAGCTGCTTCTCATTAGAGAAGAAGTGAAGAATCTATTTTCTCAGACTCCTTACAGGAAGGACAAAGTCATCCGCTCTCTTCTCAGGCTCTTTTGGTTTTAATAATAATTTCAGATTTGGGGTTAAGGCCAGGTTGTTGTTGTGTTTGGTGAAGATCTTCTGTTTGTATAGCATCCCACATGTATATGGTGTTTAAGTGCATATGAGGATGATATGTCTCACATTTCAATAAGTCATTCTTTTCTTGTGACTGTTCTTATTAATCTATTTTTCCTTATATATGACTTTATGTAGATAACCAAAGAGCTGGCAAGGTTACAACAATTGGCGTCAAATAACAAGTTAACTTCTGAGGATATATGTGGTGGTACTATTACTTTAAGCAATATTGGAGCAATTGGTGGAAAGTTTGGATCCCCACTTATCAATCTGCCTGAAGTTTCCATTATTGCCATTGGTAAAATTCAGAAAGTTCCACGGTTTGCTGATAATGGAAATGTGTATCCTGCATCACTCATGACTGTAAGTCTTGCATAGTTGCATTGCTAAACAGTATGAACTATGAACAATAAAAAAGAAAACTATACATTTTTATAGAGAAAACTGTAGTCTTCAACGACTCTTGTTCGTAGCATAACATTTCTACTTCATGTATGTTAGAAGTGATTTTGAGAGTTTGTCTATCGGAAAATACTCTTTATTTTCAATAAAGAAGTTTTCAAAAATGCTTATAATTTGTATTCAAATAGATTCTATAATTGTTTAGTTTGTCACTTTTTGTTGAAATGAAAAAAAAATGTGATTATAGAGGATACCCTTATTTGCTATTGAAAAAGGCTTCAAAGCTAATTAGTGTCCGTGGTTGTTTGGATTTCTATTTCAATTTGGAGAGTTCAAAAGTACTTTTATTCTCAAAATAATAAATTTCTCCTTCATTTTGTGTACTGAAATTCAAAAATGTGGTTTGGATTTTGCAAAAGCACTTTCATAACTTTCATCCAAACACGCGCAGAAGTCTTGTTTGTCGCAAATTCTGCTTTTGTAGTTTGATTGTCTTCATTGGCGTCGTAGCTGTAGTTGGATAACTTGGATGAATGAGTTTTGAATTAAACAGGGTAGTTCTTAGATTGATGACAATGTAAGCACAGGTTTGAACTATGAATTTATAATTTTTCAATAAGTTAACTTATATTTATTAACTAAATGTTCTAATTATTAATCATGATTTTTGCATGGGTTAAAAGATGAAATAAACAGCACTAATTGATTTGTATTTCTGCTTCCAGGTTAATATTGGTGCAGATCACAGAGTCTTGGACGGAGCAACCGTTGCAAGATTTTGCAACGAGTGGAAGCAATTAATTGAAAATCCCGAGCTCCTCACGCTGCATTTGAGATGAAATTTGATTAAGGGACAATTTCTGAGATTGTAATTCAGATGGTTGATCTTTGTATTGATTACAAAAAGAAATATACGAACCAGAGCATTTAAAATTGATCAAAATAAATATCTCAGAAATTTATCGTAATTATTCTGAACAAGTGCCGTCGTCATTATTCTGAAAATGAAAAGTAGACATAACATGAGTTTGTTTTGGATGGTAAATTTTAAGAGTTTATCATTGAAAAATTATTCCACGCTTTTAATAAAGAGGTTCTAAAAAATAGTTTCTTAAAATTGTATTCAAACAGTTTTGTGGACCTTTGATAGATCTCACGGTTGCAAAATAATGCATCTCTGTCTGAAGTACATCTATTTGCTTCACTTTCTCAAATACATATCTAAAGCATACGGTTCTGCTTTTGTTTTTCTGCCACATGATATTGCATTTGATTATTCTTGGTTTTCTTACTATCTTAAATGCCTAGTATTCTTACTATCTTAGATTTGCTAGTTGCCACTGATTATAATCGTCGAATTAAAAAACAAAAGTACTTTAGAATTAGTATAAAAATATATTATATATTTTGAAAGTATTAAAATAGAAGAAAAAAACTATATTTGATATAGAGAGTATTGAAAGTGATTAACAATAATAATTACTAATGTATATTTTTTAATTCGAATAAATAATAGTAACTAATTAAATAAATATAATAATAAATAAAAGCACCTAATTAATACAAAAATTTATCAGTAAGGTAATATAATATAATGATCGTGGAAAGTAATTGAGACTATCATCCAATCATATATCATACATGATAAATATGTTAATAGTCCGTTAGCATCAAATTTTTTAAACGTTGAGATTGAAAGTTTGCTCAATTAGTAATAATAAAATGAAATTTAAATTTGTATACATTTTTTTAATTTTCAATTTGACTTATTTGATGTTTTTAGATCGATTTCAAAGAATTTTACTTCTTTTTTGTCATAACTAAATTCAATCAAATAATTTTTCACAGATCTTTTAGTCCGTAAGCATGGTTTCACGTTGATAATTTTGTTTTGTTGTATTCAATTTATTTCTTAATGATAAAAAAAAGTCAAGTTCATGATTAAAAATACATAGTAATGTTGACTATTAATATGGCTATTAAGCTTATAAATTATTTTATATCAATTAAATTAAATTAATTTATTTTATTTATGAAAATGGAAATTAACACTAAAAAAAATATAATTTATAAGACTCAGTCATATGTTAAAGTTATATGGCATTAGTATTAAAAGAAATTTTGTAAAATTAACATGAAAAGTTAAGTTGGAAATGATAGAGTTAGGTCTTGAAGCAATGGCCTGGGCGCAGTAGAAAAGCCCTTTGCGTTTCAAACAAACTGTAGTGACGGAGATCGTGGAACAGATTGGACTAGACTCTGGAGAGTTTGGAAATGGCAGCTTGTCAGAAGCTTCTGGAATTGAGCACCAAGATCGTCGCTGTTGGCAGAAACTACGCTGCTCACGCCAAAGAACTAGGCAACGCCGTTCCCAAGGTACAACACTCTCTCTCTCACACACACAACGAATTAAGATTGTAAGATTTATCAATGAATTTTCAGGAGCCAGTGTTGTTTCTGAAACCCACATCGTCTTACTTGAAAAACGGCGGAACCATCCAAATCCCTCACAACGAGGGCTCTCTGCATCACGAGGTCGAGCTCGCTGTGGTCATCGCCAAGAAAGCGCGTGACGTGTCCGAATCCTCTGCCATGGATTACGTTGCCGGTATTCATCTAAGAAAACTATTACTCTAAGATTCAATAGTCAATGCACTCAAAATTAAATTAGTTTCACACTTTCATCTAATCATCCACATCCACTAAACGGGTGGGAGCTTAAATTTTGCAATCATTGTGAAGACCTCATTAGTGGGTAATTTGAAAGTACTTATGTAAGCCTTCTTTAAGCTTAGAGGCCTGCCATGGCCTGGTGAGGAGTCTCTAGAACTCAACTCACTTAAACTTTCATTGGTGGAAAAAAAAAAAAAAAAAAAAAATTGTTATTACAATGAATAAATTTTGGTATATCAGGTTATGCACTGGCTCTGGATATGACTGCTAGGGACCTTCAAGCTGCTGCAAAGGTATTTTGGAAGTTGACTAGGGAAATGTTTCCTTTGACTGTTACACCAAGTTTTCTGAAAATTATTTTCACCCAGCACTAAAATATAAAGAAAACTATTTCCCAAAAAAGGACCTGTAAAACAATAGGAGTTAAACTTTGGGGATGCTAACAAACATGAAATGATTTGTGTGGGAATTCCCTTTTGCTCTTGGTATGTGTTATATTTTTCTGCTCAAATAATTTTGAATGTAAGATATAGACCTGTTATTTTCATAATCTAATAAGTGATGTTTTCTTTTTTCGCGTTTACTCTTTAGTCTGCAGGTCTTCCATGGAGTTTGGCAAAAGGCCAGGACACTTTCACCCCAATTAGTTCAATTGTAAGAAATCGTGTGCCACGATGCTTATTTATGCTGAAACTATTTTATAATGCTGTGTTAGAGAAACTAGTTCACTTGATCCTTGATTGCATTAAGGAGTCAAGAACTACAGAGAAATGATAATACAAATTTCAGCCATTCATAACTTTTACAAGAAGATTTAATCTACATACACAAGCATTACCCTGGTTCAGATCTCGGGGTAATATATTGCTTGTAATTTGTGATGTGAGGCTTTTGCAATAAAGAACTTGCACCTATGCATATATTACTGTAGTCTGTAGATCTGTAATTCAATCAAATCCATTCTTCTTCTAGGTGATATTTAAACTTCGACAAGAAATAAATGAGTTGTGGTCATCTGTGGATGTTATTTTTCACATCTACTTATATTGTAAGCCATATTCTTCAACTATCCTTTTTTATAATGCAGTTACCAAAGTCTACCGTGCCAAACCCTGATGATATAGAATTATGGTTAAAGGTTGGAGATACTTTATACTTCTCTCGTTATCACTTGGCTCTAGTATAATTGATTGTGCATTGCTTCAGTGATGCATTGGAAGCCTAAACCAATTTGAAGAAATGAATTTGCTTTGATGTAGGTTGATGAGGATATTCGGCAAAAGGGTTCAACCAAGGACATGATCTTTAAGATCCCATTTCTAATTAGCTACATAAGCTCTGTCATGACATTGTTTGAAGGAGATGTCATACTAACTGGTAATGCACCAATTCTTCATGTGCATATTTATATTTATGTGACAGTTTAATTGATGAAAAAAGGTCTTTAGTAAATTTAGCGTATTATCTTTTATTTAAACTATCATATGGGCCAATGAGGATTGGTTCAACTGATAGGATCGAGCATTTTTTATTAAAAATTCTCGAGTTCACTATGTTGAATCCTTGAGATTGGGCAGCTTCCCTTCTCCAAAACTATTCTAGAAGAAAAAAAAAATCCTCTGGAGGGAATTTCATTAAAAAAATATATAATGACCATGAAAAGGTTGCCAGTGGTAACCTTGGATTGCTTTATTTGCCTCAAGTTCTTGCTTATGGATAGGACTCGAAGTGAGTCAAACCAGCTTTTGCGGAGCCTAGTTGCAGCTTGGATCATTGTCAATTCAACTAGTTGAAAAATTTGGCTTGTTTATAAAAGAATTGAGCTTTAACCTTTACATATTCAACTCATTATTCATGGGTTGGTTTTCTATATACATTTGTGCACATTTAAAAAAAATTAATTTAATATATATTAACATTTAATTATTAAACTATTATTTAACTGAATATACATGAAAAATAGTTTGTTAATTTAAAATTTTGAACCTAAAATATCAATTCTTGAATAACTTGTGAGTTTGAGGTAAGTTAAATCTCAGCTAAGAAAATAGGTCTATTTCTTAATGGAGCTAAACTCGAGCTGGGCTTAGAGCTCAGCTTGATTCAATTCCACCCCCTTCCTTTCGTTCTTTTGTAGATTATATATAGTACATTACATCGCAGCTGCAGGAATAGACTCGTTAAATAAGGAAATCTGAGATCCTTGCCCAGCTAACATAGATTATGATGATTTGCAGGCACTCCTCCAGGTGTTGGCCCTGTGAAAGAGGGTCAAACAATAACTGCTGGTATTACAGGCCTCGTGGATGTACAGTTCAATGTCGAAAAAAGAAAAAAGCCCGGACATTCTTGATAAACTCCCGAGAGTACTTCATTCTGCAACAGGAGATCCTCTTGCCAAGGGGAAACAAAGAGGGCCATACAATAAAAAAATAAAAAATTAAAAAATGAAAACTATTATTTGGTATTCAGAGTCTATACAACACTTGCAGTTTCCTCCCTTCTCCCCATTTATGGTCCTTGAATCAGTACTCTGGATCTTAGGCGGGCATGCTATTGCTTGTGTCATGAAAATGATGATAACTGTTTTATACTATGGAAAATAATGATTATGATGGAGCACTCGGATTCGTTTTATAAAATGGTCAAGTGACCACTTTAATTGTTATGGAATCATGTCATGACTAACTATAGTACTACGTAAGTAACAATTTACAGACAATATATCTAGTTACAGTCGCTGAAAAATCTAACATTACAACAAAAAAGAAACAACTATGCATCAAAGCATAAATTTTTTTTACTCTGTTATGGAAACAACGGCTGAAACAAGAAGTTGGTGAATGAAAGTCTTTCCATATGTTACCATGGGAAGATGTAAACACTTTGAGCATGTTGGAGTCAAGTGTAGTCTGGTACAGAAAAGGAAAATTCTGTGGTTAACAGACTTTCTGGATCCCTTTTCTTGCGTAATGTTATTATTATAATAGATTGTAAAGCCACTTTTGCACACCGTTTTACTTTCATCACTATAAAACACGAGCATACACACTCAACAAGAGTAATCAACGGACATACACATTAGTCCACTTTGTGAATACAGACCCAACAATAACTGAAGGACAAAGATGCAATCAAACAAAGAGCAGAGGGAGATATATTCAACATGACCAAAGCAAATCAGAATTTTTGAAAGAAATCATAGATTTGTTCGTTGATCTCATTAGGCCTTTCTTGATGGAGGAAGTGACCTGCCCCTTCAAGTACAACTACATCTTCCAGAAGCGGCACATCTCTCTTGAACCCACCTTTGTGAATGTAATCCTTCGCTCCCGGTGCATTATATGTCAAGTCCATATCACCCACTATAAACTTAACTGGAACTTTTACTCGTGCACCAGTCCATGGTGCTGTGAGCTCCCAATTTCTACAAATGCAAATGGAAGCAATGAAGTAAATTAGTTTTGAAGTGTTTTTTCTTTTTTCCAATAAAAGTAAGCAATGAAATACTACTGCAGTCCTTTTTATAATAAACGAGTAATAGTGTAAAATACAGCATCACTTGTTTCTTATAAAAAGGGACAGGAAGTAGTACTTATGTTTTAAACGCTTTGCAGAAAAACATACAGATCCAAATTTCTGTAGTAGTTCAATCCCCCAGTGAAGCCAGTCTTGTCATATTTACTGGCATAGTAATCACATTCTTCTTCAGACAGCCACGAGGGCAATATTATGGGAGAATCCTTTGGATATCCAAACGCTTTACCCTTGGGTAGATAAAGTGGACCAGGGTTGTGGTATGTAAGGATTTCCTTCAGGACTCTCTCGGTGCCAATCTGCGCAAACTCAGCTTCTATATCTCCAGGCTCCTGCAATAATGCAGTTGAGCAACATAACCACTTTGCAAACCTTGGTTTGACCCAAGAGAAAAGCATCTTTTTTTCACTTCTACTTGAACCATGTTTTGGGACCTAAAATATTTATATTCAAACACAACACAGTATAACCATTATTTTGCCAAACATCCATATTTGTGGATCAAATTCAGTTTACATTCTTCAAACTAAATTTTAAGGTAGATAGATATACTATAATCCAAACAAAGCCCCCAATAAGTAAAAACTAGTTGAGTATTATAATATTGAACACAAAAAAACTTTTTTTTAGAACAACACAAAAGAACATTATATAATATAACAAGAATTTGATTATATATTATCAATTAATTAAAAATTACTGTACAAATGTTTTGTAAGTATTTTTTTTATTAAAATAAACAATTTGAACGTATATAAATTAATAAATTATGTTACATGAGGTCCACATCACAGCTATGTGGTTATAAATTATAAGCGAACGAAAGTCAGATAACAGAAAATAGGAAGAAACCTGAAATCTGCAGATATAGTAGTCATTTCCGTACACTGCTCTTAAGGTGGCAAGGGGCTTTCTCTGGGGGTGACGGGGGGTGAAGGTGACACTCAAGTTGACGAGAGCCTTGATTCGTTCTGGGCGATAGAGGGAAAGATACCAAGCAGTGAGGGCACCCCAATCATGACCCACCACAAACACTTTTTCTTCGTCGCCGGCGATTTTGTCCAGAAGTTCGATAAGATCGCCGACGACGTGGAGACTGGTGTAGGCGGTGGGGTTAGCCGGCACATCTGTGTCGCCGAAGCCGCGGAGGTCTGGCGCCACGCAGCGGTAGCCGAGGGACGCTAGAGCTGCGATCTGGTGGCGCCAGGAGTACCATAGGTCGGGGAAGCCATGGATGAAGAGGATCAATGGCCCTTCTCCCTTCTCAGCTATGTGCATGTTTATGCCATTCACCTTCACTGTTCGGTGCTCTATCTCCTCCATCTTCAACTCTCTCATATGCTTCATCCAGTATTTGTGTATTATGGGATATGATTGTTGTATTTGTATATATATATATGTAGTATAAAAGATAAAAAAAACTCCAAATGTAGCTTATAAATTACTCTATGTGTGTGCTAAGTTACCTAATTGTTTACTATATATGTAATTAAAAAAATTATGCAAGCACATTTTTACAATTGAATTAATCTATTCATTTTTTTTTAATACATAAGTCTTTTAGAACGGTGCTAATTGACTCAAAAGCCTATGCAATTTCATTTGTCAATTATTATATATGCATGAATTGCCTGGTTTTGTTTCTTTGCGTTGGAAAGATAAGGTAGCAGAATAAAGGGAGAGTGTGCTACTCTGCTTTCTACTATTATTCTTTGCTTCCTTGATTGGCTTAATCTCCTTCTTGAGATAAGCAGTTATTAATTTGATTGATTATTCTTGCTCGTTATTATGTGTGGTTAGGGATGGCAATGGGCCCGTGGGAGCGGGTAATAGTAAATCCGTCTCCGTGCTGGATGAAAATTGGCCTCATATTTACTTTATATTTGTGCAGATATCTGTTAAGCAGGTATTCATAAATTTTTTGAATACTCGTGAGTATCCATGAATATTCATGGATATTTATAAATTTTTTAAGAAATAAAAAAAATTATATTATAAATAATTTTAAATTTATATTTAATGTTATTGAAATATTAAAAATAAAAATTTAATATTAATTTTAAACTTGTAATTAACGTTAATTTTGTTGAAAAAATAACAAAAAAACAAGATAATCAATAACTTAAAATACATCAATCTCACAAGTAAGTGAAAGTCTCGTATCACAAATCTACAATAATTAATCTCATAATTCCAAATAAAAGTAAACAACTTAAAATACATAAATCTTATTGTTCCAATCAAAGCTAGAAAATTAATCAAGTTATCCATCTTTTTAGTACAAGAATAATTAGGATATTTAAGAAATATTATTAAATGGGTACTCGCGAGTATGAATACCATCATACCCGCCCCCGCCCTATTTATAAACGGGTAAAAAATTATCCATCTTCATTCGCGGGTACTCAATTAGCCTACTTATTTATCATCTATAATAGATTTTATCCGCATATACTTTCAGGTGGGGATTTTTTTCCCATCCCTGTGTGGCTTCTGCTTTGGCCTTTGTGGTTGTGGGTCACATATGTAAATTAGTCTCTAATCTCCATGTTTGCATGTGATCATAGTTCATGTTGGAATACGTGAAGCACGTTTATGCCTTGCTCTGTCGGCCAATTCGAAAAGTGATATTGATCCAACCCATTATCACCATACGGATAGCCGGAGAAGATTATTTAGTCATTGAAGAACTTAATGAAAAGTGTGTTCTTGATCTCCTGGATAGCTGGGAGGAGTGTAGTCTTTGGTGGAGCTTACCTACAAGGACAATTTTTATGCTAGTATTGGGATGATGCATTTATTTAATTTATTTAAAATATAAAAATAAAAATAATAGACACTACTAAAAATATAATTATAGTGATAATTATTGGAGAAAGATAATATAGAATTATTAAAAAAGATTCAATTGTTTGAATGATAAATAGGAGTAAAAATCAAAATATTTTAACAAATATAGATAAATGAGTTAAATGGTAAATAAATTATAAGAAAGGTGAAAACTAAAAATGTTTTAGTGTCATTTACCACTTTTCTATTTTTTTTGGTGAAAAAATCTGTTATATTTCTTAAATAAATATTCTTTTTCTTCTGATAATTTTTATTTGTAAATATAATAATATGTTTTTGAGAAAATAGTTTTTTACACAACAATGCATATAGATTAAACTCTATTCTTTTATCACTTGAAACAAGTAATTTATTCCTTTTTCATAATTTTTATTATAGAAATAATTAAATAAAATATTAATTTGAGTTTACTTTCTTTTATAATCCGTTGTTTTTATTTTAAAAACTACACATAATTATATTTTTTTATCGGTGAAAAATATAACAATAATATTAAAATCTAAGACTTTATATATATATTCAATCCAAATTTTAATCGCTGAAGATTTTTGCATTTGCAATCAATCGACTTTATTAATCTTTGTTTTATATTTATTAGTGTTATAACATATATCTTACACGGATATTAAGTTACAATATTTATCTTTTACATTATTTTGATTTTTAATGTATTTTTTTATTTTATACAATATGTTAGTATATATATTGTTTTCAATAATTTTTTTTATAGAATACAAATTTATTTGATCTAATTATAGTATTTAATCAACCAAAACTAATTTCTTAAATTAATTTTTTAAACTGTCAAAAAGTGAAATATAAGTAAAAGGTTATAAAAGTGTCAGTTATTTATTAAATTTTACTATGTAAATAAAAATGTAAATTGCCTGGAAATGATTTATGAAACCTTTTTTTTTTTTTTTTTTGTATAACCTTTATGAAACCCATTTAAAGTGAAATAAATGTCTTGGTGAGTTGCTACTTGCTAGTATTAGAAATCCTCAATTGAAGATGTTCTAACCGAATAAGTTTCATAATGATATGTTTTGTTTATCTAACAAAACTTCTTTGTATTTTCGCCTCTCTTCTCTTGAATTTCTTGCACTTGGGCATCAGCTGCAACTGCAGGGAAGGTTAAAAGTTAGGACTATTACGCTTATGAGAATTTAAAGTCAATGATTGAGTGAGATTTGGTTCCATACTATCTGATTATCCGTTGTTCAAAACTGATATTTATTAGAAAATTTCAAAAGAAAAAAAAAAAAGGGTGAAAACACGAAAGCCCAACTCAAGTGATTGCCAGCATGACATGAGTTTTGATAAAAGTGAGCCACAAACCAACACCGAAAACATGAGGCAGTGCGTGTGTGAGGGGGACATTGGCATATCAAACCACCAATTACATTTACAAGACTCAGTCTAGTACCACTTTAGATTCACTTTAGATTCTTCACTTTGTTATTATTGTTATACATTAAAAAAAAAATAGAGTTTAACGTAAATGTTATTTTACAAAGTTAGAGAATAAGTGAGAATTCCGTAACATTGAAGGTACACTCGTAGCTTTCTAGGTGGTGAGTGGCCGAACGGATACTTCTGGTGGACACTTCAGAGGGGGGGAAGTACCTGCAAAAGGCACTCCGATGCTCAAGTCAGGACAAACACGATTTTCTATGGTAAAAACAATGAACAGTGACGTACCTCGTTACGTGCGACCTATTTATAATACCTGACATGGGCCTGACCATGGTGGGCCTTTTTTGACACTTACCAAATTAGGTAATACAATGCTAATCAGCTAATCATGTCTTAATCATGCGCTTATCATTGTTAACTGTGATTTGTACTATAATCCGTTTAACCTTTCGGCACATCGCCGAGCCGACAGGCTAAAGCTTGGGAAGTTGCACGTCTTCGGCTGTTGACTGGGCTGACAAATGCTTATTCAGATACCTTACTTGGTTGGCGTTTGGCCGAGCCGATACGTAGTGTACGGAGATGCATCATGGTGTTGTTTGCATCGGCCTTCAGCCGAGCCGATATTTGCTAGTAGACTATTCTCGTCCTTCGGCTGTATGCCAAGCCGATGCTAACGTCAAGGTTTACATAGGCATGGTTCAGCTCGCGTGGGTGTCTGGCGTAACAGCACGTGTTGGTTCACGTGACCGATAAGGTCCCTCCGTTACAAAGATTAAAGAGGTCAGTGCTTATAGTTTAAATAATTAAAGTGTTCTATTTGTAAGGTTTGTTTTTTTTATTTAATAAAATCACAGCCTGCTTTTATATAGTACTACTATTTTTTTTTTAGTTTCAAATTTATTATTTTTCCATTTTTTAATTAAAAATATGGGGGAGTGTGATATGTATAATATTTTTACTATAATTCTCTAATACAATAATACTACATTTGTCAGCAAAGTTCAGAAAAAATATTTGAATAAACTTGGTTACCAAGTTTAGTAGGAAATAAAATATAAACTCATATTTAATCACGATAATTGAAAAAAAAAAAAAAAAAAAACTGCGATTGAAAAAACAATAATCATGAAGGTAGGAAATGAGTGGAGATTTGGTGTGACGAGAATGATAGGGAAAAATGATAGGAAATTAATTAAAGAAAGAAAGAGGTAGTGGATTGCGATATTCAGAGTCCAACAAGTTGGTCAGCATAATGCATTCATCGTAAGAAGCGGGATATAATATTTGGTAAGCAATGAAGCATGGATGAAAGTGTTGTATGCCTTAGGCACTAGACAATAAGCTTAACCAAGGCAACACAATTTCCGCGACATTACTTAACGTAAGGAGAGGCAAGGGCATATGCGTCATTTTAATAAAACCGCGTCAATTAATCAGTGAGAAGAGGTAACAGTAACAGCTACAGCGAGAATCGAAAAGAAATAAATAGTGATAAGTGAGAAGCAAAGTGAAGGTTGTGAGACAGAGAAGATGGAAAACAGCGAGGGAAGGGAAATCCAAAGCAAAGACTACGCGCTCAGCGGCAAGATAATGCTAATCGCCATCGTCCTTCTCTTCCTCGTCATCGTCATAATGCTTTGCCTCCACGTCTACGTCCGCTGCCGCATCGTCGCCGCTCGCCGCCGCCAATTTATCCGGCGCGCGCCCCGCCGCCCGCAGTTCGTTTTCTACGTGGACCCGGCCGCCCGCATTGGGCTGACGACGCGCGGCCTCCACCCCTCGGTGATCTCGACGCTCCCCGTCTTCACGTTCTCCGAGGGCAGCGACGCCAGGGAGTGCTCGGTTTGCTTGTCGGAGTTGGAGGAGGGTGAAAGGGGTCGTGTTTTGCCCAAATGCAATCATACTTTTCATACGGACTGTATCGACATGTGGTTTCAGTCGCACGCCACGTGTCCTCTCTGCAGGGCCCCCGTGGAGGCCCAGCCCAAGGACCCTCTCCTTCTCTCTGCCTCTGCCTCTGCCTCTGCCTCTGGGCCTGGGCCCCAACAAGTGCTGGGGCCCAATTCTTCTTCTTCTTCCGAGTCCCCGGTGAGTCGGATACTATCGTTTAAGATAATTCTGAGCAGAGAGAAGAAGGAAAGCGCTTCCATCAGCGAGTTCGATGCGGAACGGGGAGAATGTGACTCGGCGAGTTTAACCGCTTCCCATTGAAGGAGTTGCAGATGTGACATCACAAACCTCTCGACGTAGCATGTTCAGATAGATACATGAAGGAGAATCATAGCAACTTGCAGATTTTTTTATTTTTTATTTTTTAACTTTAAAGCTTACTTTTTTTTTATTTTCTTTTCTTTTACGGGTAGAAATTTATTTACAATGTATTGATTGTATAATTTTTTTTATATTCATATTTAATTTATAATATCTTCCATAATAAATTTTATCATTACTCTTTTAAAAGTTATATGTGAGATAATATATATAATAAAAAGAAAGAATAGTTTTTAATAATAATAATAATAATAATAGAAAAAATAATTAAATTCTAACACTCATGTTAAAAAGAATGAGTAAATTACGTTTTCTTTTCATTTACACTATGTTTTTGCTTTTTTTATGTTCATAATAGGACTGTTTGCCCCCTAAAATAAAATAGGACTGTTTGCAACGTATGTAATTTATTTATTTTTACTTTTATGTCAAGATGGATAATTTAATTTATTTAACTTAATATTATTAAAGTAATTAGATTTTTCTTTATTAAGAGATGTAAATAATTTAATATTAATTTTATTTCTCTTGTAATAAAAAGGCTTCAACATTATTGTGTTACCGTTTTATTGTATTAAAATATATAATTTACGCGTATTTAATTTATTATTATTGAAATATTTATTATCAACTTTTAAAAAATGTTTTAATTCAAATATATGTAAAAATATTTTGTTTATTAAGAGTGTATTTGTCAAAGTAATTAACGATTTATAGGTTTTTTTTATTAGCTTATAATTTAGTTTTATCATAATAAGTTTATATGAGAGTTGTTTAAATAAGTTTCTTCAGAACTATTTTTAAAAGAAAATGAAAATAATTTTCACTATTAATTAAAAGTAGTTCATGCATGAATTAAAAATAAAACTATAATGAAAGTTTTTACACATTAATTTATATATTTAAAACTGTTTATTTATACCAATTTTAAATATATAATTTATATATTTAAATATAATATTTATTTATATATAATATTTATTATAAATTTTAGTTACATTTAATAAATATTTATCGGTATTATTACAAAAACTAAAATACTACTTTATCAATAATTTTGAATCAATTTATTTTAAATTTGATCAATAAAATCACATTTTTATCAATGAATTATTTGAAATCTCTCTCTCTCCCTCTGTTGCTCTTAAAAGTTTTCACACAAAATAATTTCATTATAATATTCTTTTTATTAATAACACTTGTTTTGTTTCCCTCTCCTCTCCTCAGTCTTGTCAATTTCTTGCATACTATTCAAGATTTGAGAATTTTAGTAAACTACCATTTCATTAATTTGTTGAATTCGTATAACATTGACATGTTACTTCCTATAATAAAGAATATATATGGAAAGATATTAAATTATACTTGTGTAGTTTTTTAGTTTTTCATTAACTTTTACATTATTCAATATTTTTTTTTAATGAGATACATTGTGTAATATATAGCTTTATGTTAGAGATGAAGCTAATCGATCTAATTATTAAATTATAGTTTTATATTGATTAAAAGTATTAAAATTAAACAATAATAATAAGATAAATTGAATTATTTAATTAAAATTTATTGAATGATGTAATAGTTAATTAAGTTAATTCATAATTTAATCTCTCGTGTGTGTGAAAGTGAATTATGTAAAAAATTCCTAAGTTCTTTTAAATTTATTTTGACTCTAAAAGAAGTAGGGACCTAAATGCACTACTCTTCATCCTCCCCAACATAATGAGTAGTAAGTAAGTCACATAAGTGAGCTTGACACCACAACATATCCTAAAACTTTTTAAAATATTAGGTAGATGAGTCTTTCTCACTTATATATTACTTAAAATGTCCAACTCTAATTAATGTGAAACTTTGCTTCACACTTGAATTTCAACACTTATGAATGTAAGAAAAAGATAGATACGGAATAAAGCACAATTTGGGGGCAAAAGAGAGACTATCATAGATTAATTTAACAAAAAATAGTAAAACAATATGAAAGCCTCAAATTGAGCAGAGAAAGAATAAATTGATAAAATCAAATTTGATATTAAAAGTAATCCAACAAAGAATATTGTGAGATTCAACACTATCATAGATTACCGTCAATGACTGCCGTAGCTCCAATTAATGTATCCGTCTTGGACCAATAATTGTGCCTCCATCATGCTACCTTGTTTCATGGGTTTACGTGGTGTCACTTGAGTTGGCCTACAGTTTCACTTTCAACTCAGACCGAGTCAATCAGATATTTTACCAGCATAGCCACGTCAAATGCACCCGTTTAAATAAATAAATCAATCAAGGATATAATTCACTTAGTTCAAATTCCTTTAATGCTATTTTTATTCTTATGGATCAAAATATATGAATCAATAATTCATTTTAAATCATTTCCTTTAATTTGAACAGAATTGTTCATGGATTTTTTACTTACTATTTTTAGTTTTTAGGGGACTAAACAGGTCATTCGGTTGCATTTTCCTTTGATATAGCTTTAAAAACTAGACTCAAGAGCCATAATTTAATTTTAGTACCATGTAAGAGTGGATAATTATTGTTGTTGTGCATCATGTTTGATGACATTAAATGTTAATGTAATAAAGTAATAATTGTGAACACGACGAAGATATAAGTACAAAATAAAGCGTGTGGGGAACATGCATGATATACATTGCGTGGGATTGGGTTTAGTGAGTGAATGAATCCCTCTGGTTCTGAAATCTGAGTTGAATTGGAGTGTGCCCATTATTCAAACTTCAAACTAGAGACTAACAAGTGGTTAGTCTTGGTGATGACAGACTCAGATTTTTTAAGCGATCAGAGGTTCAAATCCATGTAGAAATAAGAAAGAATAGTCAATTTTGAGAAATAGCCTTGGTATGTGTGGTGTGTTTGCTAGTTGTAAAGCTATAACAGGAGAAAGCGTGTACAAAAAATAGAATAATAAAACAATTAAAAGAAGCTCTTTATTATTAAAAAGGATGCCAAATCTTCACTGGGTGGGACACACTTCGCACTCAGACATTCTAATCACCAGCTAATGAAAAGTTGTCGTCTTAACTTTGCTTTCCACTATTTTCTGGAGGAAACTCAAAATTTTCAAATAACTGTAATTTTATAGTGTTATGGAAAGACTAAAGAAACTAATAATTATTCTATAATCTGAAAAATATAAATAGAGAATACATTACCCTTATCTTAACATTATATATTTTTAATGTTTCATCTTATTTGAAAAAATAAATATCTAATTTTTTTCAAGATGCTTGAAACAATATATAGAAATTGGCACTATAATTATATAACATTAGTATAGAGAGAGCAAGACAATATTGAAGAAAAAAAAGGACAATATAACTTTTTCTTAAGATTGCAAAACAACAAATAATTTAGAAAAAGGAAATTATTTGCTAAAAAAAAGTTATTCGTACAATTGAAGTACGATTTTTTTATTAATCAAAATCGGATTTCATATTAAAGAATTTATAATATTCATACATTTTACTCAACTAACTAAATTAGATCTCTTGATGAATTAAATACTATTTAAAAAAGTTAATATTATTAAAGACAGAATTAATAACATATTAAAAATCTTCGGAAATAATATCAATGTTTAATTAATTTTTTTTATTGAAAGTTCCATATACATATTTGGATTTAATTATTTTTGGTTACTCTTTTAAAACATATATTTTACTCAACTAACTAGATTAGATCTATGAATTAAATCCTATTAAAAAAAAGTTAATATTATTACAGATAGAATTAATGACATACCAAAAATCTTCGAACATAATACCAATGTTTAATTAAATTTTTCATTGAAAATTCTATATACATATTTGGGTTTAATCATTTTTAGTTACTCTTTTAAAACATATATCTGCAATAAGATTCTAATTATGAAAATTTTATATATAAATTCTGCTAATTTAAATACAATAAATTTTCTATCAAGCAACGTTGTTGACATACAGAAAAGAAAGAAGAAAAAAAAAAAATATATATATATATATATATATATATATACGACATAAGGAAATTTAATTTCTTTTCATAATTACCTTTTTTTTTTTACAGTCCGTTTTATTTTATCTCACTTTTTTAATCTCTCATAAATCGTGATTTTAAAAATAAGACTGAACTTTTTGGTTGGATTGATTCGATCAAGAATCTATTTCTAATGATTTGATTAGTTCAAGAAATTATTTTGTAATGAATTGATAAATAAAAAAAATTGGTAAAATTGGTTAAATCGATTTAAACTAGTCCAATTATTATTTTTTTAAAAATTTAAAAATTTAATTATTTTTTAATAAAAATCATAATAATTTTATTAATATTAATTTGATCACTATAATTAAATCATTAAATTTTAAATTAATGTCTAAATTGGTTTGATAAGCGTTTTGATTTTGAAAACATTAGTTAAGGTAAACAATCCCATGACGAAACAAAAAGAAAATTTTGGAACATTGTGATGCAGAAGAGAATAAACGAGTTTTAATAATAATAATAATAATAATAAAGGGGTGCTGATTAAAATCTTGATATAACCCCAACATCTTCTAAACTGAAGAATCGGTCAAACTCTAAAGTTTTTAACATGATTCGTAGAATTACGTAAAGCAATTTTTTTAAGTTGAGTTTCCTTTGCTGCAGACCAATCAATAAAGAGCATGTGTATTGTGTGGCAACTGGGCATATCTTTGAAATGCTCCAAACAACAATTCGGTCATTTTTCAAAGCTTCTAAGTTCTAAGGCACTTTTATCTGTTTCAATGTTTTCTCAAATAGCAGTATATTATGAGTTGTTGATTCAATTAGAATTAAACACAATTTTGAAGGAATCAGATCCCATCCAAATAATCCAACCCATCTCATTCAATAATATAACACAAACCCACAAATCACGTAAAGTAAATGAGTCAAAATTGACTAAGGAAGACCCAATTGAAAGATGAATTCATTTCCTTATACCCAATACGAAGAATCACACTTTGAACAATTGCATAACATGATGTTCATAAACCGGAGAATATTGTCAAAAATAGCCCTGCATAATTCATCTCAATTCATATTAG